CTGGAGGGTTATGGCCAGATAAATAACGTGCATCGAGATACCTCGTAACGTCACTTTCTTCGCCCGCTTCACGGTAAATAAAGCCTCACCGTGGCGCAATCCATAACTTTCAAAAGCTCATCATACACAGGGCAGGAGGATTGGGAAGGCTCAGCCTCAGCTTCTTTGCCCTACTCAGACATTTCCTGCTTTTCCTGGGCTGAACCCAGCAGAGCACTGGCCCCTGAATCAGACAATGTTAATGAAATAACATCATCCTCCAGCGGCTCACTCTCGTCCACAGCCGACGATCGCGAGAGGGAAAACCCCCTTCAAACTCATCGGCCAGATCCACCTGCGATCCCCACGAGCTCATTCTCTTCCGTGCCTCAGCAGCGGCGGGTCCTGAATCACGGGAAGCAGATGGCTGCCCCTCTTTCCTCGAAAAGAGAGACAAACAAGAGGGAGCTTTTTCCTTGGAAAAAATGCTCGCAGTGCACGCCGATTGCCCCCTCGTAGACATCGTGTGCATGCTCTTCGCCCAAACAAATAACGCATAGATCGTGCATGTCATCAGATGTTAAACAACGACAACATGGATGCACACATCCTCTAAACGTTCTGCTAGTGTTCGCCATAATAATAGGATAGAGATCGCTCTTACCACGTTCAAATGCACGCTGCAAACAAAACAGTCAGTGAAGCCGAAGAAGAGAATGACATGTTCTCCCGGCGCCTATTTATACTATAGTCGCACCGGTAGTGACGTCATGGCTGTCGCCGGCCAACGTGTTGTTGGTGTTTTTTCAATGTATGCTTCAGACACGGGTCACGACGAGGCGTCCCCCCATAGCGACCCCTAGAGGACGCAGTTCGACGTTCCCGTCTAGACATGATTAAATACAACCCCAAATCAGAAAAAGTTTTTTTAAATGCAATAACATTTTGTAAAATTAATTAAAATCAAAATCTTATAATAAAATCTTAATTCAATTTAATCTTTATTTGATTGACAAAAGTGCAAAGAAAAGATTTTCAATGTTTTCACTGACCAAATAAACTGTAATCTGTAAATATAAGCAAATTGGGACAGTTTGTCGTTTAACACTGTGTCACATCAACTTTCCTTTTAATTACAATGTTTAATTGTTTGTGAATAGAGGATAATAATTGTTAAAGTTTTGCAAGCAAAATTTTTGCCCAATCTCGCTTTAAACAAGACTTCAGCTGCTCATCAGTCTGTGGTCATTATTAAAAGTGTGATTGTACTTTTCATGATGGGCCATACATGTTCAATATAGTAGACAGGTCTGGACTGATCTAGCACATTCACTCTGTCTATGAAACCATGCTGTTGTAGCACATGCAGAATGAGACCTGGTGTTGTCTTGATCTAATAACCATGGACTTCTCATGAAAGACGTCATCTTGATGGCAGTCTCTGTACAATGTCAATATAATGCCTCCATGTCAATGGTAAGCTAACACATGCCAGACACCCATGACGTTTGCTCTGATAAACCCACATACAATAATAATAAATTATGAAAAAACAATTTCTATTTATGTGCAAATTACTCAGCACTACTTAGGAGTTAATCAAAGTGGCCACATGCATTGTAAAGGTCAGACTCCAAGCTTTCAAATGACACCTATTTCGTGTTGATCAAAGCAGAGAGTTTGAAAAATATGATTATTAATTTTTTTCTTCACTAAGGGGCACCCGCCGGCAGTACACTCCGGTTTAGAGGAACTAGGCAGCACTGGTTAGGAGTTGATCATAATGGTTGGATGCATTCGAAAGCTGAATTTCTACGCTTTAAAATGACACCTGTTTTGTTTTCCATGATTGGAGCATGTTTCATGATATGATAAGCGTAAAACAAAACATGAGAAGATTACAACCATGTGCGCATTTGGGGTTTTATGTGCTATAACTTGATGACGAATATCTTTAGATCTAAATGACAGATTATAGTATGATCATTTTAATTGGGAGAATTTTCTGAAAATAATGACATGCCATTTTCCACGATGCATGCATGTTTCATGAAGTTATGAATAAAGGCGCAAAGCGAAACTACAGTTTGTCCTGCTGCGCCTGAAGTGCCCCCGTTGGGTTTTATGTGTTATAGCACTATGAGCAATATCTTTGGATCTCATCTGCAGGTTATGGTAACTCTGGCCTTATTTTAATCTGAAAATTATTTTATATTATCCGACTTTATTTCTGAAAATAATGACATCCAATTGTATGCATGTTTCGTGAAGTTAAGAGTAAAAACGCAACGTGAAGCATAGCGCCGTTTTTCTTTGCTGCGCCACATGTGCCCGTCTGGTTTAATGTGTTATGTTATATGAGGAATATCTATCGATCAGGGGTGCGTTTTCCAAAAGCATTATTACCCAACTATGGTCGCAAGTTCCGTCATTACCAGCATAGTTCATCAATTTGGTGTTTCCCGAAACCACAGTTCAAACGAATATTCGCAAACTTACGTGGTAGGAACTACAGCTCTCCACCTGTGGTTAGAAGCAGTTTCTTGTTAGGAAGACATATGGACTTAAATAAATTATGCTTTTGGGCACAATAAGCAAGCTAACATGCAGTGCAATCTATATCTTCAATTCAATTTAAATATATATTTTAATCAATACATTTTAGCGTGTCCTCAATAAGCACCATTTTTGAAGAGTGGGGGATTACCAAAGAGTTGAAGGGAACCCCCGGAGTATGACTTAAGAGGACACCCGCCATGAATCAAACATCAAATAAAGCAAAATGACAGGGAACAAAACATAGTAAATAAATCATCAGGTGCCATATTCAATACAGCAGCATCTCAGAAATCTTGAATCAATTAATTAGCAGAAGTTATTACTCCACCATACTCCACGTCATTATAAACAGCCCTAAATTGTTGAACTAATGTGGTTCAAATGACGGATATGCGACCATGTTCAGGAAACAGTTATGACTGGAGATATATGCATGTTTCGTGAAGTTACGAACTAAAACGGCACAGGACTGCAATGTCTGATTTATTCATGTTGGAATATTTAATAACTATTTAAAAAACATTGTGTCTAGTCATCAAAACAGTTTGATCATAATATGAAAGTGTACTTTGATTTTTATTCTTAGCATTTTTTTCATTGATCTAGTTTTCTCACAATCCAAAACTTGTGATTCAGTGAGTTATGATGGCTTTAAGAGTTTTAAGACCACTTCCCACAATATTCAATAAAGCAGTGTCAATTTTTCATTTTTAGCTTTATTCCATGAGTAAGCAGAGTACGAACAGTGCCTTCAAGTGATATTTGAAAACAGCAAAATACTAGTCAATATAAATTAAAATGGGAAAAAAGATACCAGAAATAAAATTCATAAACAACTAAACTGACAGAGTGGTTGTTCAAAAAATAGATAAATACAGTATATGATATGTATTATAAATATTACTAGTGTTGATAATTTTTGTAAAATTCAGTGAATTCATCCCTTTAAGTAAAATAAAACACAAGACTATAAGCATCAAAATATACTTAAAATATTACTTATTATTACTAATTATATTACTGGCTTATAAATAAATGTGTTCATCTTTCATTTTTATTACTGTATAATACTTGGTAACATCGCAGCACTGCTGAGGATGTATTATTTAGATGAAAAGTGTAATGCAGAGACGTACTTTTCAATGGTGTACACGTCTGTGGTGGAGACGTACCCCTTCTCTAAAGTAACAGTACACGAATGTCTCCGTCGGTAGGTTATCCATGGCACTGTCCACCCGCCATACGGCAGATGCAGAACGAGAGTGACACAATGCCTCAGAGAGCGATGATATCGGCGTCAACCAATGAATTGGAGTGATTCTATATTATATAATTTTATATATAAATTATATAATTGTTACCCCTGGGGGAAGTTCCCATAGCGTCATCTATTGACACCACGTTGATTGAAACTGCTATTCTTAATAGTACCTTATATTTTACAGTATCATGATTTTTGCATTGGTAGCATAATGTGACTATGTGTTTGAAAAATTATAACAGGAATATGTTAATTTGTTAAGATACAAATGCAAAAAGTAAAGTAAAATATACTTTTTATCGTGTATTATTACTATTAAAAAGATGAACTGAATGAAAGTGAAAGAGAGAAGTTGGAAACAAATTACATAGACAGCATAGACAGAGTACAACATTTGATTGTGCTTATTGGTAGTCCTTTGTTTCACAAAGCCTATGTTCACATGCTGGTAATTTATCTTTAGGTTATATCATATAGGTAAAATGTGCACAGAATGTGTGTAAGTGTACAATAATTGTTTACCATTTTAACAATAAAAATAGATCATAAAAATAGCATTATTTATTTAGGACTGCCCTGACTTAGTGATTTCACATACCATATGTCTACATAAAAAAAAAGAAAAGAAAATACACACATTATCCTGCTCAGTTTACGTCCCCTTGGTTTTTGATATATTGTGTATCTTTTATATGTTTTGTGGCAGTTCCTGCTTTATCTAGAGTAGTGACGCTGCTTGCTGTTCTTATGGAACATTTTCCAGTCACTGCTCATTCTTTGGATTTTCCACATCGTCTGCATAATTGAATTGAAACAGTTACTGCATGATGTTGATATCCAGCTTTTAACACTTATGTTTGAGGGACTCAACTATTACAAAAGGTGCAAACAATAATTGATGATCAAGAAGGCAGTACACTATATTAGGAATCAAGGTAATGTAAACTTTTGCAAACAGGATTATTGGTGTAAATTGCAATTATATAAGATCTCTTATGTTTGTATAAATTCTGCATTGGGTTTATAAACAAGCATAAAATTCACTAAACTGAAAATGCACGCAGTATATAAACTGAAATGGTGTGTAATATATCTAATATAAGATTTAAATTGTTTTCATTTTAACAGCTCGAATAATACGTTTAAAGTTCCCCATTGATTTTGGATTGTAACCAATGAAATGTCTCTTTAAACTTTAAAGGAAACATTGATAGTGAACGGCTGGCGATCGCTAGACAGCGAATTCCATATCGACTCGGTCGAGTAGTTGACGATTGGCTACTCGACAAAGGTAAAAACACTGATAAAACTTAATGAATACGTTTTAAGTAGTATATATTAAATGTGAAATAAAGCAATAATTTAAACATTTAGTTAAATTAAAGGATGCATTTTAAATAGATAAATGTAGCTTGTAATAACTGTAATAACTTATTTAATAATGTACTGATCTGTATTAACTAATTTATGTCATAAATTTTGGTTAAAGGGACTGTAGATGTAAGTTTGAATAAGCTTGTTAAAAAGCATTTTTAATGTAATTTAAACTTTTAAATCATAAAATCAAAATGTCCAAATTAAAATGATAATTGTGTTAATATAATGAATTTACATTCATTTAATATAATGTGAACATTTGTGTACCTTTTTGTCATATTAATACAAAGACAGCCATAATAACTAGATAATATTTAATAATCATAATAACCATAGCAATAATTACTAATATAATAATCGATAATATTTAAATAATGTTTAACAAATATTAATTGTCATTTGAGTCCCTTTAAGAAAAATTTACGTGTAGCTAAGAAATTGACAAAACATCCACTGAAAAAAAAATTAAACTTTGAAGTGCATGGATAATCATTTCATCTTTTAAATGAAATACACAACTGTTTTTCTTGTTGATTTTAATTGAATTATTTTTCAGTCTTCCTTTGTTTCATGACCACCCTGTTGACATTTGCATCCAATCCAACTCATCTTGCTAAAAGGCAGACATGGTTGTTACTGTTATATTTATAGTACATACTCTAATCATTATACTGCACACCTACATAACATTCATATCAGATTAATTTTTTTAAGTGTATAAAGTTATTAAGCTGCCTTCAGATTGATTGTTAGCTGTAAACATCTGCCATGGAAATGTTTTTAACTCCATGACAACAGACAAAAAAAAATTATCTTCTCCCTCTTTTTACTTTAATCAGTAATGATTAGCTTTGCAAAACTTCATTTGGAATTAAACTAGTTGTTGATAATTGGTAGTGTTAAAGAGGCCTTTTAGCAAAGTGCCACAGTTTAAACCTGTTACCACTGTTTTGTTATCTTTCATTTTTCATTATTTGTGTTTCATAAGCATCCCTTTGTTACAGCCATGATAAATCACCAGGCATTTACATTCCCCAGTACCTGAATAATCCGTCTTTTCCTCAGGCGTGATTATTTCCATCACTCTCCCTCACGTATGTTTCTCTTCAGTCTGCACAGTTTTTTTGTATTGCATTAACTTTGCTCTCTCGCAGGCCGTCAGCTCACAATCTTCAACAGCCAGATGACCATCCAGATCGGGGGCTGGGAAAGAGACCACAGCCGTGCCTTCCAAGGCCAAATGTCTGGTTTCTATTACAATGGTTTGAAGGTTTTTAACATGGCCGTGGAAGGAGACCCCAACATCCGCATCGAAGGCAGCGTGAGGTTGGTTGGGGAGGTGCAGTTGTCCTCCATATCACCACAGTCCAGTGCTACGGTTTCTCGCTCTGAAACCTCTACCTCAGTCATGGAGATCACTACCACAACCACCTCCAACCACAAGATCAAACCGAGCACAGCAAGCGAAGCCCAGCAGGTCAGAAAACTCCACTCATTCCTTTAGTTGACCTCCACCCTTTCCTTTCCATTTCTTTGTTCCACCTGTCCCATCAGTATTTCGCTGGACTTTTTTCTGATTTTTATGGCCCAAAACTACTGAATGTGCTACAGAGTTTCTCCAAAATTGTGGCAATATTTGCAGTCTTTTTTGTATTGTTTTGCAGCAATATTCATGATGTTTTTAGTGTTAATGCCAGTACGAGTACAATTACCTGTAAATACTTTTGTTCATAATTACTGATATTGTGGTCCTGGTGCATCGTATGTAACCTGGGTAAAAGTAGAAAAAACTACCCTGGCACAAAATTGCAGCAGTACTGATATAAGCTATAAGAATAAGTTGGAACTGCTCACAGTCAAAGAGCCAATAACCTAAAGGCAATGCACAAAGTATTACATTTATGGCACTTTTCCACTGCGTGATACGGCACGGTATGGCTCGGCTCGGTTTGTGTTTCCTCTGCAGTTCAGTACCGCTTTAGAGTGGGTGGGATTATTCACATGTCGTTATAGTTGTGCCGCCTCTACTGCCGCGACTCCTTCATTCCGCGTCGCCCCATCAAGCTCTCGCTGGATCCGCTCCTCTGCTATCAACGAGAGGAACGTCTGTACTTTCTCAACAGACAACGAAACAGCCACTTTTTGGTTGTTAAAAAAGGCGCGCTTGTTCAAAACAGTTGCGTTCGATCCTTCGCTGGCTGTGCTGAGATAAATCTAGCGGTTCTGTTGTGTTTGTGTCGCAAGTTCAGTGACGCAGGTAGTGATGATTCTGTCCGGCCAATCCGTGATCAGCAGAGTTTACACGTCACGTTTTGGTAATGGTACAGTTCACTTGGAACCCCAACCGAGGTGGTACTAAAAAAAGTACCAGGTACCAGGTACTGTACCCAGTGGAAAACCCCCCAAAAGTGAACCGTACCGAGCCGTACCATGCCGTACCATGCAGTGGAAAAGCGCCATTAATTATCAAGGCTGTTTACACTAATAAATAAACTAAAACATGGGCACTGAAACACGGGTTCAATACGTGAACCCTGGCACGATTTTATTACGCTTCAGGTACGTATTGGCCTACACCAAACCCAACCCTAAACCTACCCGATAGTGTTAACAAATGCAAAACCGATAAAAATGCATTTGTCGATGCAACCGTGCCATTTGAACTTCCTTATATGCAGATTTGAACTGTTTTGTCGAACCGTAGTTACACGGGATTCGAACCGGAGCTCCTCACCTCTCAAGTATCTCCGTACTCCGTGAGCTACTGAACAAACCTACTGTCCATGAAAACCCATAGATATGAATGTTCGATGCTAACATTCAAAAGCATCAGTTTTCAAATCTCCCAGCATATTAAAATTGTTTTGAAGTCATTACATAATATTCTTCAAGTAATTGTGCGAAAATTACGCTTTATTAATCGAAACTCTGTAAATTGGTGTGAAAAGGAATAAAAGGAGTTTTACTGCCTCTAGTGTTCATTTATTTTGGAAACGGCAGTGATTATGTACTTATTGGTACGTATTTCGCGTCTCGCGAAAAAGTGCACTCAGGTAAATTTTTGCCATGAGACCAGGTTGGATATCGCACCAATTATTTTTTCATAAACTTTTCAATTTCAAAGTAGCTTGCTAGTAACCAAATATTGTTTATGTGTAATCTTTGTGTGACATGAAAAATGTCTGTTTCAAGAAATGGAAAGTGGATTTAGAAATAAAAATGTCTTTGTTTAATTCCCTTCCAGCAAGTGTAGCATAGTTATTCACATTGATGTTCATAGTCAGGATGTCTGTAATCTGTTATAATAATCTGTTTGTTTATTGTTACACTTTACACAGCTAAAGAGTCTCAATCTAATGCTTTGTATACCTATTCAATTAAGCTCAGTTTCCCATTTCTCTTTTTTCATTCTGTGTGCAGTTCTTCTATAGTTCATCCCCTCTTTCTCATACCATCTGTTTTCCAGACTACTGATGACTTGTTGGTGGCATCTGCCGAGTGCCCCAGTGACGATGAGGACATAGACCCCTGCGAACCGAGCTCAGGTGGGTTAGGTTAGTCATCTCGTTATTACTACTTTTCTTTCTGACTGTGTTTGTCCTCACTTTCACCTCAACAGTTGTGTTGTTCTTCTACAGCAATGTGTCTGTTCCTGGTATTTTAAATGTTAAAATACACTTTATATTAGGTGGCCTTAACTACGATGTACTTACATTTAAATTAATCATTTGGTACAATGCACTTATTGTGTACATACATGTTTTTACATTGTACTTATATTTTTTAAAATACCTATACGTAATCGCATCTGTAATTAATTTCTGTAATTACATTTATAATTACACTGTTGACCCATTCTTTACACCTTAACCCACCCTTAAACCAACCCATACCAACAAACCAGTCCCTAACCTTACCCGTATCCCACCTCAGTAGCAGCAAAAGTGTTTTGCAATACAATATGAACACAATAAGTACATTGTACTTATATTTTGATGTAAGTACATAGTAGTTAAGTCCACCTAATATAAAGTGTGACCAAATATAAAAATTTTTACTGCTGTTTTGGTTGTGGTTTTCCCACACAATTGGCCCCACATCAGGGATTTTAACGCAGGTTGATTGAGTGTGTCATTGTAGATTAATTGCAAATTGATGCTTGTGTGTAGAAAAAACAACAACAACAACAACAGTGAATATGGACAGAAGAAGAGTGAAATAAAGAGAAAACAATATGTAAACCATTATTAATGGTCTTGACAGATCAAAAAAATATCAGAAAGGATTTTTATTTATTGTATGAGGATAATAGTCACTAATTAGTATGTATTTATAAATGGCAGTTCAACAGTTTTTGCCGTCCTGGACATAAGGTGAGATCGTCTATAATCAGTGCAATGCTGCCACCGCTCTTTCGTGACAGTAAAACATTAGAGTCGTTTTATCTTGCGTTAAGAGATTTTATTCTCAGTGTTGCAAGCAAGCAAAACATGCGTGACACTAAGACTTATCCTGGACTAAGATGGAATGAAAATACTACATATCTGTCAGGATAGATGGCAGAAATGTGTTCAAAATGTTTGACAACTTACTTAATACCTCATGTGGCTTGTAAATTGTTACATTTTAGCCAATAAATTAACTCTTAAAAACACTTAATTTAGTTAATTCAGTTAAAATAATTATTTTCTGTATTTTTACCATTATCATTTACTATTCATTATTATCAGTGTGCTTCTTAGCATGCATATTACTACTATACAGTTACACTTTATTTTAAGGTGTCTGCGTTACAGTGTAATTATACATTTAAGTACTGAGTAATATTTATTAACTACATGTACTTACTATATGGTTAGGGTTAGGATTAGGGTTACTTGCATGTAATTATGCATAATTCATTGTTGTTATAATAGTAAGTACATGTAACATATGTAACAAGGACACCTTAAAATAAAGTGTTACCGCATACTGGCTGTTTATTAGTACTTATGTTACAGTATTGATGCTTTATTCTGCATGACCATATTCTAGAGCCCTTAACCCTACCCAATACTTAAACATACCTTATTACCAACTACCTAACTTACTATCGATTAGCAGCAGGAGTATGAGTTTAGGAGTTTATTGAGGGAAAACGCTTAATTAACAGTGTTGCCATTACACTTTGTCTACACTGTCTAAATTTCTACATTAAAAGTTCATTAATGACATTCTTTATCAAAAATCTCCCCTCAAATCACACCCTGGTTATAACAAACTTGGTATATGTTATGTCCACCATGAGAGTACCTAAGCAAGATTAGCACTTGGGGAGAGCTGGCATGCATTGGTGTTTTGTCAGTTGCTGACATGTATGTGAGTTTTTCTCTATTTTTATTGTGTGCTGTGATCTCTGAGCAATGACATGCGGCTTGGGGACTTGGCCTAAGTCCTGTAGGAATGAAATTAAGTTAGCAAAATTCAACTGCTTAGCTCTCCCATAACTCAGTGGCAGCATGAAAATTGATCCATCTATCTTCCAAAAAAAAAGTGCATTCACATCACTGATAACCGAATTTCAAAACCCACACTGTAAACTTATGAGCCAATGTGTTACTGTAAAATATGTAGTATATTATCTATTGCATCTACTCAAGCGGCTTGGGGACTTGGCCTAAGTCCTGTAGGAATGAAATTAAGTTAGCAAAATTCAACTGCTTAGCTCTCCCATAACTCAGTGGCAGCATGAAAATTGATCCATCTATCTTCCAAAAAAAAAAGTGCATTCACATCACTGATAACCGAATTTCAAAACCCACACTGTAAACTTATGAGCCAATGTGTTACTGTAAAATATGTAGTATATTATCTATTGCATCTACTCATTTAGCAGATGCTTTTATCTAAAGTGGCTTACAAATGAATAATAGAAGCAATCAAAATCAACAAAAGAGCAACAATGTATGTGTTGTGACAAGTCCTGCTTAGTCTTATGCACTGCACATAGCAAGGTAATAAATGAAAAGAAGAAAAAGTAGACAGAAAAGATTGAATAGATAGAGTTAATGTTAGAGAAGTTGTTATTATTATTATTTTCATAGTAATTAAAAAGAGCACATTAGATAGAATAGAATAGTGTTAGTGTTACAACTTCTCCCAGTCTAGGGTTCGGAGAGGAGGGAACAGTTAAAAAATTAACCAAAAGGAAAAACAAATAGAGAACATGGAGGATTTCATAAAAAATGATTTCATCTAAATGACCTATGGAGGTATAGAGAAAAGAAATAAACAACATAAGCTTCCCTCTACTTCCTTACTAACCAAAAACGGGGATGAACATTTTTCAAAAGAAAAGTATTAGAAGGATACAATCGTTTTTAGCACGGACACAAATTGTAGAAAGAAAGAAAAGGATCATTACCTGACAGCAAAAGGGCTACAACACTGTTTTCACACCAAAGCACACACAAGCTACAATGTGTGCAAACTAATTGCAGTACAAAGAAGACTCAAAAGTCTACACTTAGTTATCTGGAACTCACAAGTCTGGTGCAGGGGAGAAGTGAACCTCCTCAAGCAGTGTTCACTCTGCTCTTTTGTAACAGCACACTCCTTGCAAGCATCAGGTGTGGCTAATTAACTGCAAGGCAAGCAGAGTGAGGAAGAGAGAGAACACACTGGCAAACACAATACTCATACAGAGTAAAATACATGCCCAAACACATTTATACACAGGACATTTTTTTTAATAAATAAAAAGAAAACAAGTAGATAGAATAGCAATAAAATAGAGAGTTCTAGTGTTAGAGGGTCAAGTGTAGAATGGAAGATGCTTAAGACTCAACTGTTTGGTTTGAGTTGGGAAGGTCATTCTACCAGCAGGAAACAGTTAAGGTAAAAGTCCATGAAAGTGATTTTGTGCTTCTTTGGGATGGCACTACAATGCACTGTTCACATGCAGAATGCAAGTTTCTGGAGGGCACATAAGTCTGAAGTAATGAATTTAGATAAAGGGGTGCAGAGCCAGTGGTTTTTTCTTAGGCAGACATCAATGCCTTGAATTTTATGCGAGCAGGTATTGGTAGCCATTGCAAATTGGTGTGACATGCTCTTTTCGGCTCGTTAATGACTAATCTTGCAGCCACACTCTGGATTAGCTGCAGAGGTTTGATAGAACTAGTGGCGTAGGCACAATTTTATTTTTGGACAGGCCTGCCCTTACCAGAAAGTAGTATACTTCAAGTTTATTTTATTACGTATACTTAATTAAATTCAAGTATATTTTTAAGTATACTTTATGTAGTAAGTATACAAATATCAGTGTACTAGTAGTATACTTGTAAGTGTACTATTTCAATACTCCTTGGGACTAAATTGGCCCACTTTCTAGTATATAAAAGTATACTTTTAGTATAACAGTAGTAAACTTTGAGTACAGAACTAGTTTACATCTATGTTTTTAGTTTGTACTGCAACTATACTAAAAGTGAACTTATAGGTATACTGATAGTTTACTAATTAAATACTTATTTTAGTACACTTTGAAGTATAGTCTCAGTAAACTACTAGTTTAGTAGTTTTATACCGCAAGTATACTCATAAGTTTTCTGAACTTTACATTGTACTGTAATTTTACAGAATTATGCATTGCTGCTGTTTTAACATTTACTAACATACAACTGAAAATGAAAGGCTAATTGAATACTGTAGGTGAACACGCACAACGCCCCTGGATAGAACTGATTGAAAGACATGCCAAGAGAGCATTGCAATAGTCCAGCCCAGTGAGTCAGGCAGTTATTTACACTGCAAAAAATAAGGCCTATCTCCATTAAAATATACATTCTAAAATATATGTTTGCTATACAGGCAGAATTGCAAAAATTTGAATAGCATTGTGATGTCTCAAAAAGCATTTATAGTATATATCTCATATTTTCCTAACATATTGTACCCTTAACTGGGTTAAACATGGTGTCACGTGGATGGAATATGCATGGAAATGATATGCAGATGATGTTATGCATATTAAAACTAGGCGTTGTAAGCTCCATATATGGCTATTTGGGGGAGGAGACGGGGTGGAGATTCATGTACGCACAATCTTCCGCTGACTGGGTATTACAAAGGGAATTTTTCGCAGGTTCTGGTGTACGCATAAATCTGAAAACTTTTGTACGTATGCAAAATCCAGCTTTTGTGCGTACGCACACATTTAGGATGAAATCTACGTAAAGTTTTATATATGAGGCCCCAGGTAAGCACAATGAGGACTAGGCAAAGACTAAACAACATGTGGTACAGAAAAACAAGGGGTGCAATCCAATTACATTTTTTGACACACACTTCTGAAATTCCCTAAGCACTTCCACACAGTGGAATCCCCCTGCCACTAAACGTAATGATGTTCATCTGAGTCAACGAGACGGATGGAAGTCAGCAAGAAAAGGGCATAGAAAGTGAAGTGGAACACAGCCGAGGAGGCAGGGCAAGGGGAGCACATGACCATTATTAAAGCTGCAGTCTGTAACTTTTTTTGGTTAAAAATGATCCGAAATCAATATTTGAGCAA